GTCTCTTCTGACATCCATTTTGACCTTTTGCTTCTTTCTTGTCTTCTTAATGACGTTTTGCTTTCTACCTGTATGATGTTCTAAATGAACATTTCATTTTTTATTCTGAACTATTGATATAGAAAATGATTCTGCAATTAAGAATTTGTCATGTTGTTAAGTGCCATTGAATCATTTCCGATCCATAGTGAACCTGTATAGGGTTTCCAAGGAGCAGTTGGTGATGTCGAACAGTCAACCTTGCAGATCAAACCTGTGTTGTAGTCCAGCGCCACATCAGAACTCCCTCCCTCATTATATATACATATAAATATATTGTTGTTGTTGTTAAGTACCATGCAGTCGGTTCCGACTCATAGTGACCCAGTGCAGTGGTTTTGAGGCTGCAAATCTTTAGGTGAGCAGAAAGCCTCATCTTTCTCCCACAGAACAGCTGGTAGTTTCAAATACTGACCTTGAGGTTAGCAGTCTGATTTGTAACCACTACGCTACCAGAGCTCTCTCTCCATATATACATACCAAAAAGAAAAAAAAAAAATGTATTGGATTTCTAACTTCAATGTTAAATTTTTAAATTTAAAAGCAGTGCTTATCTCAAAAAGGAATTTCCATAGCCTAGTTCCAAACTTTTTTTTAAATAGTATATTGATTTCTTTCCAGGCAGGCAAATTTCACACATTTCATTCAAAACCAAGCTTTGAAAGAAAATGCCACCATAATCCTATAATAGTTCTAGATAGATGTTCCACAATTTTAGAAGCTTTGTCAAACCTTACAATTTTCAGCCAGCATTTACTGTGTGTTCCTGTCTCTACCGCAGTTGTATTTCTATAATACCCATTGTTATCAAGTCCATTCTGACTGATAGTGACCCTACAGGACAGAATATAGCACCTCCATAAGGTTTTCAAGGCTGCCACGCTTTACAGAAGCAGACTGCCACATCTTTCATGGTGCATCTGGTTCGTTCAAATTGCAGACCATTTGAGCATTTGAGCAGACGGCAGTTCAAGTTCACCAGCCACTCCTTGGAAACTCTATATAGGCTCATTCAATGAGTTGGAACAAACTTTATGGCACTTAACAACAACAACAACATAGAGTGTCCTGGTGTGCCGCCATAGGATAAGACTAGACTGCAAACTCAGTTTGAACCACAAGGTCAGACGTAGATTGGTGGTTCAAACCTACCAGAAGCTCCTTGGAAACCCTATACAGGGTTGCTATAAGTCGGAACATAGACTGTGCATATTTTGTACATCTTTTGAATATTTAAGCTAAAACTAAATTCAAATTTTAAGACAAATGCAAAGCACATTTGAAAAGCTGGTTAGCCTTAATCTTTCTCAGTATTTACAATTTTGAAGTATTAGACACTGATTTTATATTGTGATAATCATTCTATGACTTTAGTTTGTGAGTAGTTTTTGCAATTCATGACAATTTTTGAAAATAAATTTAATTATATATATATATATATATATATATATCAAAGGCTATTTATCTTGATATAAATATTACAGTTTATTTTCCTTCTCAACTACATCTCCCCTGTATATTTAACCTTTGAAAATATGACACATGTTTTAGATCATTTTGAATAAACAATTCAGCTAATCCATACGAGAAACAGTTCAGGTACTTCAAGCTGGGCAGCCTGCCATAGATGAATGTATCCAGAGAAAAGGATGCACTTTTAAAAATTCACACACAAGTACTATATGGTTTAGCTAGTTGCAGCCCTGAATGGACAAGACATTCATGGCATAATCATTATTTCAAATACAAAAATAGCAAGATGTGAATTAAGAATACCTAACATGCTTTGAAAGTGACTTTTTTGAAAATGATCATCCAAGAGTACTTATATTTTTCAACTTACACACATCATATATAAGTTTAATTTAATTTTTACACAATTACCTTTTTAAAAAAATCTAATCATATAGGTTTTTGTAATTTAGACAAAATTCTTATTATTTAAAATCTATTTTTCTGAAAATACACAAGAAGTTTGCAAAATACTGACAGCTGTCCCTTTCGGGGGAAAAAAAAAAAAAAAAGCATCCAGAATCAGTTAAGCTAGGTATATGCTGAAATGAACAAAGTTAAAAAACTTTATCAATAGAGAATTTCTCCAGACATTAAAAACACTAATGGGGGGGACTGTGAATCCTTAACAGGAAAATACAGCAACTAAAGTTTGTAAGCACTGGCCTATAAATTACAAGAAGACTATACAGTCCGCTGCTCATTTCTTATCTAGACATTTCCTCACATCAGAATATACTTGGATAAGAGAAATCAAAAGCATATATACCATACATTTTGTTTCTAATATTCTTTCTGAGAATACTGAGCATTTTGTTGATGTTTAAGGTATTAAACATGTCTTTAACAAATGCTATGTTGTCTTCTAAACCATTTTACTGATTTCCACAATAAAATTTATTCAAAGCAATGTATAATAAAACATTTCTTATGTTATAGGATGACTTGGTGTATATCGTTAAAATAAGTGAGAATACCAGACTTTCATATTATTAAAAAGGTAATTGTTTCTACTTTGAATATTTATATGTATTAACTCTTTCCTCAATCCCAAAACTTCTTCAATGAAATTCACTTATAGAGTCAGGCTAAAGAATAAATACAAAATGTGCTTTGTCAATAATGAGTCTGATTTATTTAAGATGGAATATATGTCTGAGGTCCTTTCTCTTTCAGTGGATTATTTGTTTTGTAACGAAGTAATGACACTACTGGTAATATGAGCAAACTGCACAGATTTCTTATCACTCATAGAATGTGAGCAAAAACACAGTTGCCAGCAAATCCATTCCAATTCATGGTGATCTCCTGTGTGTCAGAACAGAACTGTACTCCATATGATTTTCAGGGGCTAGTATTTTGGAAGCAGATCACCAGGCCTTTCTTCTAAAACAATTCTTGGTGGACTGGAACTTATCTCTACCCTCTTAGTTAGCAGCCGAGGGTGTTAACCATTAGCACTATCCAGGGACTTGGTATCAGAAATGGGTAAACTAGGGATGTAGCTTTTGGTATCACATGCAATAAAACCTAATTTGTAAACAGAGTAACTGTTATGGAACTAAAGAGACACATAAACTATAGACCATGGGGCCAAAATGTTCCATTGATTGTTTTTGTAAATGAAGTGTTATTAAAACACAATCAGATTTATTTGTTTTTATAGCTTTGCATGCTACAGTGGCAGAGTTGAGTACTTAGTTAAAGAGCATATGGCCTGGAAAGCATGAAATATTTATTTCTGGTCCATTTTAGAATTAACTTTCCAATCCTGGACTAATGGACGTTCTATAGATTTAATCATACTATACGAAACTAAAGGAGTTCTGGTAGCTTCGAGGGTTAAGAGTTGGGCTGCTAACCTCAAGGTCAGTAGTTTGAATCAACCATCAGTTTCACAGGAGAAAGATAAGACTTTCCACTTTTGTAAGAATTTCAGCCTCAGAAATCCTATACAGGATGAGTTGAAACCAACTCTATAGCACATAACCACCACCAGCCCCATAAGAAACTAAAAATGTAACTCTGAGCAAGCTCTAAAATTATGATTATGGCTATCGGCTGTATATGATAGTCCCAGTAAAACTCATTGACATGGAGTCAATTCCAATTTACAGCAACCCCATAGGACAGAATAGAATTGCCCTTTGGGTTTCCAAGGCGCCATACATAATCTTTACAGACTTCTGATGATCAACACTAGGCTGTGAACCACAAGGTTGACAGTTCAAACCCACCAAGTACTCCTTGGAAACCCTATACAGGGTCCGTATGAGTTGGAATCAAACCAATGGCACTTAACAACAGCAACAATCTTTACAGAAGATTGCCACATCTTTCTCCGGTGGAGTGACTGATAGGCTTCTGGTTAGCAGTTGGATGTTTAAACACTGTGTCATGATCTGAGAGTTGTTGTTAAATACCCTCGAGTCAGTTCTGACTCACAGTGACCCTATACAGGGTTTCTGTCACTTTAAATCTTCATGGGAACAGAAAGCCTCATCTTTTTCCCATGGGGCAACTGACAGGCAGGAACTGCGGTTCCCAGTCCAGGACTTACCCACCACACTCCCTATCTGACAGTAGACAGTACCGAACATTGCATTTATTATATTACGTAATAGTTAATAAACATAACTCAGTTGCAGTACTTTTAATGAACTGTTTCTGCTACTTGACTTACACTGTGTTTTAGAAAGCATTCTCAGGAATCTGGATAAATATTTTTATGTCACAGCTAAAGATTCAAGTTACATAAACCATATTGTAACTCACCTGATTCTACCCCGGGGGCGCTCAGATTGTTCTGACATAAAACTTGTGCTGCTGAGGCGTGAGGCACTGCTGGTTCGGGAAATGGCAGACACATCACTGACATCACTATCTGATGATTTGGCAGAGACGTTATCACAGCTTCTGTACTGATCGTTATATATGTTATACTAAAGATTAAAAACAAGAAAGTGTGAGCTCCATCATCAGGTCGTGGGGAAAAAAAAAAAGAGACATGCATGGTGAGGTAAGTAACTGCTTCACCCACACCATACAGCAGTGTACCTTTGTTAAAGTAGGTGTGGAATATCAAATAATCCATAAATGATACTTTAGAGCAGGGGTGGGGAACCTTTTTTTCTGCCAAGGGTCATTTGGATACTTATAACATCATTCACAGGTCATACAAAATTATCAACTTAAAAATTAGCCTGCTATATTTGGTCAAACACTTAACTGTTGTTGTTGTTCAGTATTGTCGAGTCGGTTCCGATTCACAGTGACCCTTTTACAAGGTTTCCGATGAACAGCTGGTGGGTTTAAACTGCAGATCTTGTGGTATTCAGTGCAGCACTTATCCTACAGTACCACATCCCTAATTTAGTGGCTGGAACTGTGGTTGCCTTGGCAGGGCCAGACCAAGTGATTTCTAAGGCCTTAGGCAGCCCACGGGCTAGACGTTCCCCACCCCTACTTTACAGCCTTTTCTAAACACTAACATACTACACAATGACGTATATAAGAACCCTACATCTTTTGAATGGCAAGTCATGGTTTATGAATACTGAATTATAAATTAAATGTAAAAAAAAAAAAATGCTTGGAGAAATCTTAATTTTATTTTTACAAGTATATGACATCTTAAAATTATGCTATTCATTTGTATTCTGTTGTATCCACTTCTTTCCTTGCTTATTATTCCTATTTTATTTACCTTTTACTGTATCAATGGTATAGACTGACACTATCAGTCTATATTTCTTCTTTCTAAACTACATTTTCTAGTCTAAGATATCATTCTCTCAGAGTGCTTCAAAAAAACAACAACAGTTTTTCACAAAAAGGAGCTAATAATCAAAGCTAAGGGACTACGCCACGGGCAACAGAGTCAAAGACTGGACTTTATCTGGCTTTCTATTATGATTTCATTAAATATTTTCAGATGTGAACCATAAACTGAATATCAAAAGAGAAAGGTGACTTCTATTAAAATTGCAGTATCTCCTATGTCATAAATTTAAATGTATTGCAGTTCAAATCCACCAGTTGCTCCTCAGAAACTCTGTACAAGGATGCTACGAGTCAGAACCAATTCAATAGCACTTAACAACAACAATATACAAGTATCCTATCTTAATATAATTTCTTATAAAACATAAAATAGCTAAATACCTGAGAATTTAAGTTTCTCAGTAAGTAATTTGATTTTACATGTATAAGTAATAAAGCAGTGAAAAAATAAAATATCTGTCAAATTTGTCAAATTTGTAAAAAAAAGTCATCCATGCTCCATGTCAGAAGTTTGATGAATCTGAAGGAACTCCTTCTAAAAATTTGCATGAATGATCATCTTGCTGAAGTAGTTTAAATAAATTGATGTTATAACCTGAGTCTATATGCACAGAAAAGAAATTGCTGTTGTTGCTAATTGCTGTCGAGTTAGTTCTGACTCAGTGATCCTACATAGGGTTTTCAAAGCATTAAATCTTCAAGGGAAGAGAAAGTCTCATCTTTCTCCTGCAAAGCAGCTGGCAGGCTTGTTCCACAGACCTTGTGGTTTGTAGTCAAATACTTTTCATATGGAGCCACTGTACTCCCCACAGAAAGAAATATACAACAATACTATTTTATATCCTACAGAAACGATTCACAATGTATTACAAAATCCACCTTACAAAAGTAATTTAGGCTAAAGCACTTAAATGTTAGTTCTAATTCTTTACTTCCTGAGTTTTACATTAGGCCTGAAAACAAACCCCAACTTGTAGAATGTATACCTACGTATCTTTCCAAAGCTTTTGTTGTTGCTGTTGCTATATTTTTAACAATTGTGAAACTGTCCTTTAAGTGTCACAGGGAATTCTCATGTTGATATGTCCAGAACTGAGCAATTTATACAAGTTCATTTTTTATTTTAAATTAGTATGTCTTAAAAGAGCATATTCCAAACAATATGATAATGTGGGTTACTGGTAAATCCTGCCATATCTCATACCATGGTTCTGACTGAGATAAGTCATTTAAGTTAGAACTCTTTTTTACTTAAGAGTTGTTGTTAAGTACCGTAGATGGGGTAAAAACTTGAAAAGACTCGTAGAGTATAACCTGAATTTAAGTTGCTGCTGTGATACAATTATAGCTTCTATATAGCTGGTTTTCCAAACTATTAAGTTAAAAGAGATTCACTATGTAATTATGTATAATATTTCCAAATGTGTTGAAATGGCAGTTTGTGATGACACATTAGGAAGGAATTTAGATCAAATGATATAGGAAAGTATCCAGCTGAAGGATAGTTGCTGCCCTTGAGTTAACACCCAGCACAAATGTTCTTCTTATTTGGTAATGCCAATATTAGCAATGTAGACTGCATAGTAGAGATATGTGCATGGAAATCTTTCTCTAAGGAACACTTTTTCCTAGCAGCCATTTTTTCTGAACCTTTTTTACATGGCCAGATCAGGTTAGTTGCCCTGCAGTTGATTCCTATTTTGATTTTCCAGGAAAGAGAGAAATAGAGATTTGAAAGGATTCTATGCCCTATTATGTTTTTTTTTATATTGGGATACAGAACAACCCATTATTCTGACACGAGAATATGTTCCTCTTCACATTGGTTATCTGAATGAAATGAAATACTTTTACTTTACTTTTTACTAGCCCATTGACTTTTGTCAAGATCTGTTACAAAGTTAACCACTTTTACTTTTCATCAAGCATCATTTATGGAATTTCTAATATGTCAATTATTTTAATGTAAATTAAGTAACTATAATTTTAGGAATATACTGTCCTCAAGAGGAATTTATACTGATACCTACAGGAATGATAAGTCATATGAGTGGAGGGGGAAGGGCTCTACTTAACTTTTTATAAGTAAAATATTAAATATTTTGCAGCTACATACAAACCCATCACATCAATCTTGGTTGTGTTCCTGGATTACACAAACATAAGCACTCTTTAAAGTGAAAGGGCCTAAATGCCAAATCAACTCCAACTAAAGAATTTCACCCCATCATTTATTCATATAACTCTGTATAGCATCAATGAAAGAAAACAACAACAAAAAGCATGGTGGTCCATTTTAAGGACACTGAAGAAGTTTCATGCTTTTTCAAAAGCAAAGTTACTCAGGATGGATGTTAGGATCACTTAACCTTTTTAAAAGAGGCTAACAGGTTTCAAAAATTAATCTCAGGAGTTTATATGACACTGCTTTGATAATTCTTTGCTCTGAAGAAAGTCTAGTTCTATTGCTGTAATACTAGTATTCTAAGAAAGGTTAACATTTAGTTTGGAAGACAATTTTCAACTACAGTGTATTGCTTCATTTAAATTTCCAAATGAATTAATATAATAAAAAGAGGCAATAACTTATCAAAGTTTAAAAGTTCATCAATGGTAAATCTATAATATATTGGTTTTCAATTGTAACAATAAAATAGATCTTTGTAAATTATAGAAATCTTGGTATGAAAGGTTAAAAACAATCTGTATGGGCTAGGTTTGAATGAACTAGCATGGCTACTAGTAGTACTTGGCTTTTTTTTTATTTGGACTCATGATACCCATGTATGCAGAGTAGAACTATTTCAGAGTTTTCAAGGCTGTGACCTTTCAGAAGCCAATTGCCAGCCCTGCATTTTGGCATTTTGAGATGCTGCTGGGTGGGTTGGAACCATAAACCTTTCATTGAATAATCATTTGTGACATTCAGGGCTACTGTAATTATTTAAAAATTCTGTTGTATCAGGCCATAATATGAATATTAAAAATGTAGAGTGTCTTTCATATGAAATATAAAATAAAAGTAAGCAAACAATATGCTATTGAAAAAGCATTTTAAAAGTAAATTTTTCTTGTTGTTGTTGAGAACATTACACAGTTCAACTGTTTCTATAGGAATAATTCAGAGACACTAATTACACTCTTTGAGTCGTACAATTCTCAACTGTCTTTTCTGAGTTGTTCCTCCATCATTAACATAAACTCACTGCCCCCTCAATTTCCTACCTAATCTTTCAAGTTACTACTGTCAATTTAATCCCACATAGATAGATTTTAAAACAGCACGATGCTCAAAGCAGACATTCTTTACTAGTTAGCCTAAATCTTTGTTTGGCTTTAAGAAGGGTTTAAGTAATATGCTTGGTCTAAAATTTAAAGAATGAAAGTCAGGGATAGGAGGAGAAAAGGGAATTTGTGGCTAACTGCCTCCATGAACAACCTGTCTCCATGAGACCAGAAGAACTGAATGGTACCCAGCTACCATTACTAAACATGCTGATCAAAGATTGTACAGAAGAATGATGATCAAAAGGGGAAAAGTGCAGAACAGAATTTCAAATTCTCATGGGGTAATGGACATATATGTGAAAGTAATAGGCTTTAAATCACTGTTTAAACACAATGAGAAAGAGGGAGCATGTCAAAAGAGGAAGGAAAGATAAAACATGCTAACTTATTTGTATAAAAATTAAAATCCATATGAAAACTTTTTAATAGATCTAGAATACTGTGTTCATATCAGTCATATAAGAACTCATATAAGAACAAAGTACTCTTATGTCATAAATCAGGAGTCATAGGCCTCATTGTACAAAGAGGCCTACTATTTTTAATAATTTCTTCTGAGCCTCACTTGTCATATTGTACTAAATAAGGAAGTTGGAATAGAAAATTAAAGGTCTAAATTTCTTTGGGTAATTATGTATTTATATATATTTGGAATTTTTTAAAAGAGATAAACCTATTCTTGAATGATTAGACATATTAGTCTTAAGTAGTCATTTAAGCATCTAGAACACATCATTTTAATATTTTTTCCCACTGATTGATCAGAGTTCTAGTTCAGAATGATCCAGAAAATTTTTAGTATTTTATTCCAGTTCTTTACTTACCTTTTCTAGCTTCCTATTCCAGCCCATCTCCCTTCCCCTGCTGGTCTACATGACCTCATCCTAAGATATGTTGTTGTTGTTAAATGCCATTGAGCCAGTTCTGACTCATAGCAATGCTGTATAGGGTTTCCAATGAACAGCTGGTCGGTATATATTGCTGAGAAATCAATGAAGTATTTTCAGCTCTAATGAAGCATTTCCAGTTTAAAGAACCTTTCCAAAGAGTTACATCCAACTGTGATCAAACTTACTAAACTTTCCTTGCCTTCTAATTCTGAGTTTGTAATAAAATAAAACAAAAATGATGATGATATTCATAAAAAACACAGACAAAATACTGATGAAGTGATAATACCATAAAGAACAAATTTCAGAGAAGATATATGGAGCAAGAATCAGCAATTCTAGGGAACATCAAGACACCTTACTTACTTTTATTATTTTTTTTCTTCTGCTTTACTGATTTTACTTTTTAAAAGTTGTTTCAGATTCAGGGAATTGTGTCTCACTTAATAATTAATAGTGACCCACTGACCCTTGGTATTCTTTCAATTGGAAACCCTCTACTTCTGACTCAGGTGTAAAGTGAGAGACTGTGCTCAACAGTTGCTGACTACATTGTTGTTGTTATGTGCCGTGGAGTCAGTTCTGACTCATAGCGACCCTGTATAGGGTTTCCGAGGCTGTAAATCTTTACGGGAGCAGAAAGCCTCATCTTTCTCCCATGGAACAGCTGGTAGTTTTGAACTGCTGACCTTGAGGTTAGCAGCCTGATTTGTAACCACTATGCTAGCAGGAATCCTGCTGATTACATTAGGTTAGATGATAAATTCATCATGCTTAGTAACTACTGCTATATTTTGTAACAGTCTCTGAAAATATGGCTATATAATGATCTACCTAAGGAGCTCTGGTAGCGTAGTGATTACGAATCGAGCTGCTAACCTCAGGGTCAGCAGTTCAAAACTACTAGCTGTTCTTCAGAAGAAAGATGAGGCTTTCTGCTCCCATAAAGATTTATAGCCTTGGAAACCCTGTACAGGGTCGCTGTGAGTCTGAACTGACTCCATGGCATATAACAACAACAACAGCAACTTCCATTATTAAAAAATAAATAGGTTTTTCTAGGTTAATATTTCATGCCAACAGTACTGACTTAGTGTAGTTTTTATTAATTATAAATTTCTAATGGGTCATTACTTCCCAAAGGACTTCTTAACATGTAATAAAAGTTGACCTATAATTTTTATTGCTATCTTTTTAATGATATAAAAATATTTTAAAATAGACCAGTTAATATATGCAAAACTACCTCATTAAGTATAACATTCTATGAACACTTTAATTAAAATGACTATGCATTAGTTGGCAGTTTATAAAATTCTACATATTTACTTAGAAAACAACACTGAAATGTAAATTAAATGCTTATCAGTACATGAAACTATGTGAATTTCAGTTTCTAAAAGTCTGAAATCACTTACTTTTCTTATTAAACACAGATCACTAAAATAATCTCACATACCATGATTTTTGCCATTAATTAATTAATTTCAATAGCTACTATCAGTCTAAATCATATCTATTACTGAAGACTATAAAAGATATATCTTAATATTCAATATATTAAATTATATTCAAGCAATAAAATAGTTTGATATTTATACGCTGCTTATTTTTGTAAATTTGACTAGTGACAATCAATTGTTAAGTGAATTTAATATCAGGTATTTACACATTTTATTTTTAGAAACACTATTAAATACAAGTTGATGAAAATTAATTAAATAAACAAAGTCGTAGTTCATAAAATATATCAGGAGCATAAAGATTTTTAGGTTTGGGTAGAAATTATGATGCAAGAATGTCACTTGAGTGATACTTTCCTTTCTATAACTCAGTAATCACTAGTCCTGCCTGTAACACACACTGTACGTTTCTATAAGGGAAACTACTGTTTGGATACTATTAGTTTTACCTTGGAATATTGCTCGCGATCAAGTTCTTGACTAGAACCAGACCCTGTTGTCTGCTTAAATCGATGCACTTTCATTTTCATTTGTCTTGTTCGCTCCTCCACTACTAAGCTTGCTGTAAAAACACACAATGGAAGCCTATTAAAACACGTGAAACACCTTTGAGGAACTGAATGGTTTAAGATTTCAATGCTTTAGATATGATTTCAATTAAACGAAAAATTTTTAAAACATATGATTAATAAACTAAATAAAAAACAAAATGTACAATACTAGCAACTGTTAATCTAAAGATGAGCATGGTTCAGATTACACAGAATGCGGAGCACAAATGTTAGTAACAAATGATCAGTACCCTATTTCTTCATTTGACAAAAATATTTTCAATTCCCTTCAGAAATGATTATGTGAAACCAAGTTTAATTTTGAAAATATGCCTTTATTCAATGGCTGACTGTTGCATGTACACGTATAAAGAGAACAAATATGTATACTTAACACATCACACATATATGCACATGCTTATGTGAATGCACACACCCATTTAACATCCTCAGCTAACAGCAATTTAAGACTATTTTGATGAGCAGTTACTTTTCTGAGGCATCTTTTATTAAGTCACTAATTTTTATCAATTGCTTCTGATGATATTTGTCAGGTGTAAAATTGGATTTACTAAGAGAAAGGATTATTAGCCTTCTCTGTATTTGATGGCTATGTCTAAGACATACATGAAATTGGTATACGATTTAAAATCTGTATCACTTTATGGTATGGAAAGAAATACATTCCAGTTCAGCCTTTATTATTCAACCAAATAGCAAATGATTATTTAGAGAGGAAGACTGCATCCTTCAATAAAATGTAAGGTTTTTATTATTCATTTTTTAAGTCAGATTCAATCATGAGGAAATTACTTTCTAGAACATGTCTTTAATTTTTGCATTTCTGTGAATGGAAGAGGAAACAGAGTTGAAGGTACAGCTGTGGGTAGGATAAATTCTTCAAAAGTTTATACATGTGTTGTTTAGGCCTAAGTTTATTTCAATTTCACAATTCTTAGTAATCTCCCAGGAGTCCTGGTATGGTGCTGTGGGATAATCTGCAAAGTTGCTTTGAACCGCAAGGTCTGTGGTTCAGGCCTCACCAGCTACTCCTCAGAAACCCTATACAGGGTTGCTCTGGATCGAAACCGACTTGACAGCATTTAACAACACCAAGTAATCTCCTAGGCTACTTAGCTTCAGCAAACAACAGATACTAACGTTTATTTTTCAAGGAGTGTGTGCGTATGTTTTAATGAACAATATATTGGGATTTTTGTCCAAGGCCATACATAGTATTTGAAAGGTTAATGATAATGTTGATAAACTTGATTAACTTGACTTCTAATTACATCTCTTAACTCCCACAAGTGGGCATGAAATTTTATAATGCCACTTCCTGATAAATGTTTCCATTGCAATGATTAAGGTTGGCCTATTGTCCTGATGTGGTGTTGTAGGATAAGCACTGGACTTAAAAGCCGGTTTGAAGCACAAGGTTGGTGGTTCAAATTCACCAAGCAGCTCCTTGGAAACTCTATACAGGGTCAGTTTGAGCTGCAAACAACTCAACAGCACTTAACATCATCCTTTATAAAGGACCCTGATACCCACTAAAAAATGTATAGCTCTTTTGAGTGTTCTAGTACATATTCATAGCCCATGAAATAAGTCATAAAGTTGAAATTTGTGGCTGCTTGTCTGAATCATACTTTTAGCACGAAATTATTAAATGGTTATTTTTGTTTAAATTCTGTCAAATAAACAGACAATAGCAATCTTTAATGTCATGGTTAAGCAAACTTTCAAACTTGTTTTTGAAATCTTGACAGCAGAGACGGTAAACACTGACTATTAATCTGATTATAGAATGGTTTAATGAAGAATCTGTGAAAAGAGGCTCAGAGGTTTATTAATTACTTGACAATAGTGATTAACAGTGACCATTATAAAGAAAATTCACTTGGGAAATTTATTGAAAAAAATGTTATAAGAGGCCATAGGCCATGTCAGAAAATGGGCAAACATCTGTTCTTTGCTTTCTGTCTGTGTACCTCTGAATACATGCTCAGTTATTTACTTTGAGCTTTGAGGAAATAAAATGAATTATAATCAGTTTTATTCTATAATTAAAATTTATACAACTCAATGCAATCTCAACTTGTAATAAAAATATTTGAATGACAATGTTAACATAATTATTCTCAGTAAATGATTTCATTATTAAGAAAAATTTGACATTGATTATCATATAGCTTTGTAACACGCACATCTACTATCACATGATTCTTATGGAGGGCAATTTTTTAGGCACTGAAAAGATTATGTTCCAATGCTGAGAAGTCTGAAATAATTCTGGTGATTTACTTTGTCAGAATAGTACCTCCTCTATCTAAATAGGGTTCACTTATGTTACAGCTGCAAATAGGTCTTCATTTTTCAAAATTCAAAATCATAAAGTTAGTAGTTGTTGTTGTTGTTGTTATGTGCCGTGGAGTCGGAACCGACTCATAGCGACCCTGTACAGGGTTTCCGAGGGTGTAAATCTTTACGGGAGTAGAAAGCCTCATCTTTCTCCCGCGGAGCAGCTGGTAGTTTCGAACTGCTGACCTTGCGGTTCACAGCCCAAGTCGTAACCACTACGCTACCATTTCATTTAAAATGGTTACATTTACCTTTCAGAAATGATTGTTTATTGTATTTATTCCTAAAGAAGGTAAAGTTGGCATCTTTTAATTTGTCAAAGAAAGAAAGATCTCCGAATTTACATTGTGACTAAAAATCTTGAGTAGATCCCATGACTCTCCCATATTAATGAACTGCTATATGTCCTGCTAATTGCTTGCTCTCAAATCCTGGTGGCACTATGAGCCAATGTGCTGGACTGCAAAGTCATTTGAACTGCAAGGTCAGCATTTCAATCTCACCAACTGCTCAGAAACCCTATGCTATGGCTAGAACTGACTTGATGACACTTAACAACAACAATGAACATGTCTTGTTCATTGCTTGTTCTCAAATTCCATAGAGAAACAAAGAAAAATACAAATAGCTCATCATCTACTTACTCATATGAAAAAGTCTGATGCTTATATAGCATTGCGTACATTTTTAAGTATTCATCGCTTCTTGTTGTTAAGTACTGTCAAGTCGATTCCGACTCAAAGCAACCCAGTGTTTCCGAGGAGCCACTGGTGAGGCTGAACTGCTGACCTATGGTTCAAACCAACTGTGTGGGCCTGCACTTATTCTACAGTACCACACCAGGCTCATATCATTTATGTGCATATTGTTGTAGATTCTGAAATGATTGTTTATATAAACGATCATGTTTTAGTAAACGTGTGAAAATAAATAACAATGGAGAACATTTAGGTGTGAATAGGAAGTTATTTAACTTTGCTAAGTATTCTCCTTGTTTCAGATTTTTTAAACTCTATACCCTGAAAAAAATGAATTATTTATGCATGATTTTTGCACTATATGTCAATTTAAACAGTAAGACAAGTGTATTGTCAAAAACACAGTATTTAGCACAAATCTGAATCAGAAAATATAAATTTATATAATTTCTAAAAATAATAATAAATACTTGGTAATGATTAAAAATAAATTGAATTATTGGAATATAATAATTTGAGAAGCATTCCACTATAAATTAAATTAACCATAATGTAGAAAATCTAAAGATAAAAGTTTGAAAAGGATGATTACTAACCATGATTTAAATTTTATATGATTTTGATAATGTTAATGACAATAGCAAACTGATACAAGAAATAATTTCCATTTCGTCCACAAATCCTAGAATTAAATTCACATTTTAAAAAAACATTTTAATACTGTAAACTTATCAAAATGACCCAAATCATTAAAATGCCAGTTACATTTAAAAATTGGGGAGAATTTTAGAATTTTATTTTTAAGAAACTACATAGCTGCCATTTACTAGATTTAAATAACACCTCTCATCTTCTAAAGTAATTATCATTTAATTTCATTTAGTCCTCTCATAAAAATGATAAGCTTACATACCATACAGTCAAAAGATACGAGCATTTGCTGTAGACTGTATTTCTTGTTATAATTATGGACAGTCTCATAGCATATTTATCTCCAACAATTTATCTCTCCTAGCCCCTACAATTTAACTTCATAAAAGTTATTTTTTATGTTGATTTTCAGTATACTTTCTATAAGACAAATTATGTACATGTTAAACTGTTATTTTAAGAAAAAAAAACACATTAATTTACCTAAAAATATTGATTGAACATGATTGCTTTTCTCTAGACTTAGTTTTTTCTATATGCAACACTATTTCTATACTGTGGCATTTTTAGAAGCTGAATCTGCATATGTCAAAAATCAATTCAACATTATAATTAATAAAGTACAAAACAGAAACTTATCTTTAAGGGTTACATTAAAGCCATACTTGTGAAATCATTTCTTGACGTCTAAAACTCAAGAAGCAGAATTTTGATTGGAGTAAGCAGGATGAGAAGAGTCAGCATAATTTACCTGGTAGCATAGTGGTTACGAATCAGGCTGTGATCCACAAGGTCAGCAGTTCAAAACTATCAGCTGTTCCACGGGAGAAAGATGAGGCTTTCTGCTCCCGTAAAGATTTGCAGCCTCAGAAACCCTGTACAGGGTCTCTATGAGTCAGAACTGACTCCATGGCACATAACAACAACATAACAAAAAAACTTTTTATGATTTTCTAATGGAAAGTATTCGTTGTTGTTGTTTAGTGCTGTCAAATCGGTTCCAACTCATAACGACCCTGTAATAGGATTCCCAAAGAGCGGCTGGTGAGTTTGAACTGCCGAACTTGTGGTTCAAACCAACCTTGCGGTCCAGTGCTTTATCCCATAGTACTACACCAGGGCTCACAAAGACGCAAATTAAAATAATTTCTGTACTTCCATTCACATGCTTCAATAAAATTTCTAAATCTAGCATTGTGGATAATCTTTGATGAGTCTGAGATCAGTTACAAATATTGTTTTTGCCCATATCCATTTTTCTTTATCTTTCATAAGACTATTCAAAAGAAGTACAGCCT